TTTTTTTTTTTTTTTTTTTCGCATGTCAAACATTTTATGTCAGGAGCTAAGCTTATTACATTCCATGGAGATCTTCCATACCCATCTTGCGAGCTTGTGGAAAAATTCGAGTCTCTTGATGAGGAAGACATAGTCGGGGCCGGAGGATTTGGCACCGTATACAGAATGGTCATGAATGACTGCGGAACTTTCGCGGTAAAAAAAATTGACCGGGCAAGAGAAGGTTCCGATAAGGTGTTCGAGAGAGAACTCGAAATCTTGGGTAGCATCAAACATATAAATCTAGTCAACTTGAGAGGTTATTGTCGATTACCTACAACAAAGCTTCTTATATACGATTACTTGCCCATGGGCAGCTTGGATTATTTCTTGCATGGTAACCCTCTATGAAAATTCATAACATTTATTTGTTTACGACAAAAATGCATTTTTAATCATGTTCGTTTAACGTTATAGCAATTTTAGTCCCAAGATTCCAATTTTTCGCCTTTTGGTCCTGCAATTTAATATTTTGCTGCATTGCAATAAAATTTTAAATTACAAGACTGAAATTGCAAGAAAAATTTAAATTGCATGATTTCAAGGAATAAAACTGCAACAAAATATTAAATTACAGAACCGAAAAGCGAAATGTTGGAACATTGGGACTAAAATTGTTATGACGTTAAACCAACAGGATAAAAAAATGCAATTTTGCCTATGTTTACTGCAATTTAAACTACTTTTCGCATTAACTGAGACTGTATGTATATAATTCTTTTTTTATCAGACAGTTTAGCCGAAGAACGCCTGCTAAACTGGAATGCACGTTTGAGAGTAGCCGTTGGGTCGGCCCGGGGATTGGCTTACCTACACCACGATTGCTCCCCAAAGATAGTCCATCGGGATATAAAGTCAAGCAACATACTACTTGATGAGAATTTTGTGCCTCGTGTCTCGGATTTTGGTCTTGCCAAGCTATTGGTCGACGATGATTCTCATGTCACGACTGTGGTTGCCGGCACATTCGGCTATCTAGCTCCGGGTTTGTTTCGTTTCTTTTTTGGAGTTCGAATAAGTTTTTTCAGCTTTCTAAATTTTCGAATCTTCACGTTGTCATTTCACCATTTTCGAAAATTCTTCATGATTATTTGGCGAATGAACGGTTTTACATATTGAAATCATCGTGATATAAAACAAACGAACGAATGACATGCAGTGTCGCCAAAATGGTTTCACGCTCAACAATAAAACAAAATTTCAAAAAAATAGAAAAAAATAAATTAAGAAGTACCAAAATTAGGAGAATACTAAGGGGTTGTATTCGTTTGGGATTTCAATTGACATTATGATACTTTGAAATTTGAGACTTTTCAACCGTATTCAGATTATGAGGAATTCTATGAAATCTTAAGTATGGAGGTGAGATTTGGAGTGTGATTTGATATATGGTTTTTTCTATCGAAATCCAGCAAATCTTAAAAAGTCTTAACAAATCCTAGTCTAAGATGAAAATACTTCATGATTTTGTAGGACTTTAAAATCTAAAATGAAGACCCTCCACACTTTAAAGTCTAAATTGAATACATCAGGATTTCTAATGTCTTAAAATGATTTTAGAAATCCAAACGAAAAAAAATAAAATAATTGCTGCACATCACGAAATCCAAATTAATGTGTGCGTTGCAGAGTACTTGCAGAGCGGTAGGGCCACCGAGAAGTCGGACGTGTATAGCTTTGGAGTGCTTCTCATGGAGCTCATAACCGGAAAAAGACCCACCGATCCATCTTTCGTCCAGAGAGGGTTGAATATCGTCGGCTGGGTACATCTCCAAACACTCGATTCGCAAAATTCTCGCTATAAAAATCTTTTAATTACACGAGTATCACCTTACCTTTTAAAATTAAATATTTTTATCTAGATGACGGAGCGTTTGAGGGAAAATCGGCTGGGTGTCGTGCTCGACAAAAGATGCTCGGATGCAGATTTCGAGACGGTCGAGTTAGTTGTACAAATTGCTGCAAGATGCACAGATGTAAACCCGGACGAGCGGCCCACAATGCAGCAGGTCCTGCAAATGCTGGAGCAAGAGCAAGAGCTGATGACTTCTCCACACCTAACCGAGTTTTACGACTCGCATTCGGACAAGTGATGATGATGTGGAACTTAAAATAAACGCGTACATATGCTCGGGTGAACTAATTTGCTTTCGCGCGTTTGCTTTTCTTTTTTTGAATCTCTTTTGCAGTATTATGCGCCTTTTGTATATATATATATGAATCAATCAGTGTTTATAAAATTTGCAAATAGCTAACCTTTTTGTGTGGAGCTACATGCCATTGATTAGTGTTTTGTAACAGGTTGAACTTTGCAACGATTAAATGTCCAAGTCGATGTAAAATTTCGTGTAGTTTGGGTGGCAAACCTAAATTTGTAGCTACTCAGTGATCAGACGGTATAAAATTCGGTGAAATACTACCTTCACTGTAGGATCGAAGTTTTCGGTTGGGAAATAGGCTTAGGTGTATGTAGTCGAAGAAATTGAGTTTAAACAACTGAAGTTTGATCCTCAGGTTGAATCTGTCTAATCGATGAAGTTGAAATCTTTTTCTTTTTTTGCGTAAAATTTTTCGTTGAAATTTCATCATTTTGGTATAGTACGATGTATATAAGATAATTTTATTTTGGTTGAGACCCGTTCAAACTTTGAAAAATCATCTCCTATTGGTCTGAAAACAACTGAGGCACGACCCAGCGAGAGAAGACTTGCAGCATTTGGTCAACGACGTCACTAACAAGTCATCGTGATGACTAATATGTTTTTAAGATAGAATTGACCGGCACATCAATTCCTTCAGCCT